AATTCCACCAGGTGCTTAGATAAGTTACCTCTAACAAAGCCATCCAGCAAGGTATGTCCTTCTCTTTACCTCCATTTTACAGCTGAGCAAGTCATCAAGCCCGGGACAATTAAAAGGGACCTTGGATGTCTGTTCCTACAATGTCCTGACCACAGCTGGAATGCCTCTTAGAATAATCCTGCTTGGCCTCTACTCAGCACACCACCAGACACTTCTTACAGGGAATTTTGGTCATTACATGTCTCAATGTTGGATTCCTCTAACAATGAGAATTGTCCCCCTTGTACTGATTCATAGAATCTTTCTATATGGAAGGAACATGAGATATTGATTATTCGAAATGCAGAAAACCAAATGCGGGAAATAAAAAAAGGATGGGAGGAGAAACCACAACCTATTTTTTCTCCAAGTCTCTGAGGGGGAGGAGAAGAAACAGATAGCTTTATAAAAATGCCTCCAATTTCCCCCTGAACTTGCTCGAGATTTGTTTCTCATTTCCCTTTCCAGCAACAATGACCTACCTAGCATTTGTTACTTTTTGTGTAATAATTACAGACGTTCTGGGCAAATTCCGAAATTCATGAGCTGTCATCACTTCAAGTAACACAGAAAAATACCCGTGTCTTAGTCAAATAAAAGTAACAGAAAAATTGTTTTAGTATTTCCAGTGAGAAACTCTTATTCAATGTATTGGGGTTTTTTTCCCAGTATAATTCTGTATGAATTATGTATGTATAAGGAGGTCTTTCCCCTTTTTTCCCCTGTCTTGGAATAAGGAAAATAAACCCAAAGACATACAGTAATCTTGAAATTACAAAGCTATTACTGAGAGTTACCGATAATAATATCTTAAATTTATGTTCCACTTCATGTCTCTTATGCATGATGCTTTCATATTGAATTCAGATATTATGACCCCCTTTTTTACAGTAGACAAAATTAAGAACCAGAGAGATAACCAATCTTCAGATGATCCCAATGGGACCACAGCACATATTTCCAGGCTCCTCGATAAACAGTCCTCAGTGCTAAAGCTGTAGGTGTTCACAACGGCATTGTCTAATAAGCCTACAAAAGTCAAGATTTTCGCATCTCAAATATAATGAGGATGTGTGCATTATTCAAAGTGATACAGACAAGTTGAAATAACATGGTTAGTCCTAATGTAAAAGTTACACTAATATTAATGAACTACTATTGTGACAATCTCCTAAAGACAAGCTATCCACAGCTCGAAAACTTCTGCAACTCTCCTCAACTGACTGGGGGGAATGCCAGTGGGGTAACTGGGTCAGCATCAGGCACCAAACCCCACCCACAAAAAGGCAACCTAATGAGCAGGACACACAGTCACCAAGGGGCAAGGGGCCCCAGAACCGCCAACAAGCACCCATCTCCCTGATCCATCTCCTGAAGCACATCCCACTGCACTCATATCTTTGTTCCTCCCAAGTCCTTTCCAAAAAGCAGGATCACCCAACTCACTCTGAATGCTAACTAGGAGACTTGGAGGACATTCCAGCTCAAGATAAAATGCAAGGGAGGGTAAAAAAAAAAAAAGACATTTTCCAAATCTCTGAACAGTTCTGTTTATGAGTCAGGCTAACATCTGCTCAAAAACCCAAGCGATCTCAATGTGAGCAAGAACTGGTAAACCTTTTCTCTAAAGAGCCAGATAAAAATATTCTAGGCTTTTTGGTCAAACAGTCTGTAGCAACTACTCAACCCCAGCACAAAAGCAGCCATAGACAATAGCCAAAGGAATGGGCATGGCTGTGTTTCAATAAAACTTTATTCACAAAAACAGCAGTGGTTTGTATAATTTGCCAAGTCCTGAACTTGAGGATAGTTTGTTTAAACCCTCATTCCCAAATACCAAATGGGGAGTTCCTATGAATCATAAGTGACAAAATTCAGTTTACTTAGCTCTCAGGATAACCTAGTGCCCACCCACTGTTCATCACAGTTACCCACCGAGAATCCCGGTAACAACATCAACAGCCCCGAAAGTATTAATAGTGTCTAAAACAGCAGGAATATTAGATACTTGATGCAAGAGCCTACGGTACATTTTTCACACATATCATCTCATTTCATCCCCAAAACAACACTATGAGGGAAGTGCTGCTAATTATCCCCATCTCAAAGATGGAGAGACTGAATCTCCAAGGAATTAAATGTCCTCCCAACATCCTAAAGATGTTACAAGATAAAACTTATATTTGAGCCACAGCCCATATGACTTCAAAATTCATCCTCTCGGGCGCCTGGGTGGCTCAGATGGTTAAGCGTCTGCCTTCGGCTCAGGCCATGATCCCAGGGTCCTGGGATCGAGTCCCGCATCGGGCTCCCTGCTCCTTGGGAGCCTGCTTCTCCCTCTGCTTCTCTCTCTCTCTCTCTCCCTCTGTCTCTCATGAATAAATAAATAAAATCTTTAAAAAAAAAAAATTCATACTCTCACACACCATATCCCCAAAGCACCAATATGACCTTAGGAGGAACTAAGACAAATCTGTGAATTAGAGGCATGAAATTAAAATCTGGACGATGAAACCCATCTTTTCAGAAATGGCCTGGTTCACTTTAGCTGAATTTAAAAACAATTCCCTCTACAGACAACGAGCTTTTCTTTTGGCCGCCCCACTTTTCAAGCAGCATTTATGCCTAGAGGTCTATGTACCTGCAGCTAAGAGCCGACCTCTGGTCGGCTGTGCTTTCAAGGCCTAGGTCTGAAACATCGAAAGTGACAGGTAACAACTCCTTCCTGCTCTTTGTCTATGGGCCCAATGCTAAGGAGTGTCTCTGATGGACCCAAGCCTTGTTGACACAAGAATCACTATTCCACCATATTGGTGTGAAGCGACCACTGATCCTGCAGAATTTTCAGGAACAACTGCTGAAAGCATAAGGACTACGTACCATCAATGGATACCTGTCATTCTTTTCTTCTCCTTTGACGCTTTATTTTCTCCATTTCGCTCTTAAGCAAGGGACTTCACCAGTTCTTCCAAACCAGTCTATACCCTTCCGGGGGATTCCTCATATGACTGTCCCATCCCACCCAGAAAAAAAAAAATCAAACAGGAGAGGGGTTGACAAACTATAGCCTGTGTACCCTATCCAACCTGCGACCTGTTTTAATATAGCCTAAGTAAGAATGGTTTCTGTATTTTTAAATGATTGAGGAAAAAGAAATACAGTATTTTCTGACACATGAAAATTATATACAATTCAAATTTCAGTGTTCATAAATACATTTTTATGGAAACCCAGCCAGATCATCTAGCATTATCGATGGCCACCTTTGCACATACTGGCAAAGTTGAGTAGTGGCAAGAGAAACCCCACACCCTACAAAGCCTAAGATATTTACTGTCTGGCTTTTTTACAGAAAAGGGGTGCCAAAGTCTGCAGCCAAACTCTTAGCCCTTCCACCTATAGAAGCGGTTCCCAAATGCATTCCAGAAATGCAAAATGGAGACTCATTAAGTCCACTAGAGTTAAGGATATCAACAACTGCTTCATTCCAAAGACTGCACCACTTATGTCCATTCTTAACTGAGTAATGGGGAAAGTTTTAGCACTTTCATTTCTTCACTGCCATTTGCAACTGGAGATGCTGATGGGATATAACTTCCAATTTCCTGACTAACAGCATTGTTATTCTAAATTGATGAACTGTAAATAGCAGGCCACTTTATGCCTCTTCCTAACTGATATCAGAGCCACAAGAACAAAATGATAAATTTTCTTTCGGTTTCTTGGCAAGAAGCTATATATATATGTAATTTTGGCCTTCATCTCACAATTCCCTTCATTTATCAGAAATGGTGACAAAAAGCCTCTAATTAGATAATTCTAATCACAAGGAGTTGGGTGTGATGGAAGACTTCAGAATCACTATCTGTCCCTTGCAAAACAAAACAGATAGGCTATTCTCCCTGTAGGGGCAGGAGATTTATCAATAGACAAAAGGATGCAAAAAGCCAATAGATAAGGCATAATTAAAGATCAAGCCTATAAATTTTATACTGACATAAACTTAACAAGATTTGCAGGTGGAAATTCAGGATTTAAAACCAGAGCATCATTATGAAAATAATGCCTCTCAATTCTATACGCAATGACATTGCATAAACACAGATTTATTATTAATACTAATACCACGTGCCTTCAAGCCTTTTCAGACAAATAACTTGAATTATTTAGTGCCGAAGTAATTTCCAAAGTGATCTATCTTCCTCAACCATTGCTCCTCAATTAGCTACATTTTCCATATATTTTGGAGCATCAAAATCTCTTTTAGAAATAATAATCCACCTATCATATTTTTCATAGTTGTTGGGAACATAATCCAGAAACATCTGTATATTCTTGTGGGTCTTCATTTTCCCCCCCTTAGAACGTAAGAAAATTATTTGCAATGTAATATTCAACATAGCTTTAACAATGCTCTCGGTCTTCACTGGCTAGAAAGCTAAAAGTTTAAAAGCAAAAATGAAAAGAACTGCAGAATACCATAGAGGGCTGAAATACATTCAACTAACAAGATCTGATTTGAAAATAAAGTTGCATTTTTTTTAGATTAAAGTATAACAGATCATTTTGATATGTGACGCTTTGTAATATTTAGCAGACATTTAGCAGCTCAAGACTAGCCATTTTCTGCTTTCTGATATTGCAGCTACTGAAAAGACAGAGAAGAAAAGCCTGGGTCTTTGGGGAAATGACAAGTTTGGTACAATCACTCATTAACAAGTAAAGTTCAGAAATAAATGCAAATTGAGGGGGGAAAGCAGGTTGAGAAAACAGGTGGGAGAGAGAAATTAAGGTACTTAGAACCTTGAGGAAAAACAGGCTTGAGTGGTTCAACTTTTAGGGAACTAAAAAAGGTCTGAACAAACAGGTTTGGCGTGAAAGCGATTCAAAGAGAACTTTCCAGTGAGCTCAACGGGATGGTCACTGACCAGTGTGAGTCTGGCCGGACCCCATCCACTCACCTGAGTAGGCCCAGTACGGGTCGCCTGAAGCCTTGCGCCTGCGGATCTGCGCTGAGCTGCCGTGTCTGTTCTCATGCAGGGCCCCAACATAGCCTTCCGTCAAGGCTGGAAGAGAGGGAGAACACGATGAGTAAAAGTCTTCACTCCACTGGACAGGGAAAGGGTGTCCAACACACCACCGGCGACTTCCCAGAAGCACAGACCTCAGGGATAACGGAAGAGACCCTCCTGATTGTACAGAAAAACAGCTATGGGATAACCTAGCGAGATGACCAGGATTAATATTAATACTAACAGTAGCTTACAATGAATCTTTGGGCCACCAAGCACGGGGCACTAAGCTCTCTCTCTCTCTCTCTCTCTCTCTCTCTCTCTCTCTACATATATATATATAGTATCTTACATAATCTGCAGAACACAACCAGGCAATAGACCCAGTGGTCCCAATAACGAGACCATTCTATAGATAAGCAAATCGAACCTTAGAGAAGTTAAGTACCTTTAACTTGCCCAAGGTCATACAACTAGTAGTAGAAGACTTGGAACCTGAGGTCTTTGTTCCGACTACATGTATAAGCCTATGTCCTAGCTGCAAAAGGCCTCTGAGCCTTATATGATCCTCATAGAGCAAGGGGTCATTCCATCTCTTTTACAGATGGAGGAATTAAGGCTCAGAGACACTAAGTGACTGGTCCCAGGTAACACAGGTAAGCATGCAGCACATCAGGCAACCGAACATAAGCACGCCTACATCAAAGCAAGGGCCTCTGCCATCCAAACACATCATGGTCTAAGGCCTGGGAGACATCCCATGGTGAGTACCAGTCCTCCATATCCTTTGGAGCCCAAAGAGTCACCTGTTACACCTGAAGATATGAAACCCACAAGGCCAACGATGCTCAGAAAAGAAATGCTAATGATGTATTTTTTGAAACCTCATAATGAATCCAATCTTCGCCGCCATTATAGAGAGCTTCCATCCGCCTGCTACAGTGTTCAAAGTCCTCCCCTCCCAGCCAATTCATGAATGTAAATTTCTTTTCTTGTGAGCCCACACCCGAATGCACTGACTTGTAAGAAGACAAATACCACAGGTGCCCAGAATCCAAAATGAAATGGAATTACACTTCAAACAATACATCCCAGATGTCTATGTTAATATTTAAATGCACCCAAACAAAATCAAGTGTGCTTTTAAAAAGCAGGGGAAAATGGTTAGGGGAGCTGCAGATTCAATTTAAGATTAAGATGGCACCAGGAAAACAGTACATTCTCTATTCTGAATTAGTCCAAGTAATGATAATGATGTCACCATGATGGCAAATTAGGAAACGTGTAAAGTACAGACAGTCCCCAACTTATGATGGACTGACCTAGCAATTTCTCAACTTTATAGTGGCGCAAACATGATACGCATTCTGGGCGCCTGAGTGGTTCAGTCGGTTAAGCACCTGCCTTCGGCTCAGGTCATGATCCCAGGGTCTTGGGATCGAGTCCAGCATCAGGCTCCTTGTTCAGCAGGCAGTCTGCTTCTCCCTCTGCCCTTGCTTCCCCAACCCCACCCCGCCCCGCTCATGCGTGCTTGCTACCCCCTCTCTCTGTCAAATAAGTAAATAAAATCTTTAAAAAAAAAAAAAATAAAGTGATACAAATTCAGCAGGATGGAACCTTGAATTTGGATTTGGATCTTTTCCCGGGGCTGGCAATATGTAGAGTAAGATCCTCTCTCGTGATGCTGGGCAGCAGAGGCCCCAGCTCCCAGTCAGCCCCACGATCACAAGGCTTAACAACCAACACACTTAGAACCATCTGCATGCATACAGCCATTCTGTTTTTCACTTTCCATACAAACTCAATGAATGAGATACTCAACACTGTATTATAAACTAGGCTTTGTTAGATGACTTTCCCAACCGTAGGCTAATGTAGGCATTTTGAGCATGTTAAGGCAGGTTAGGCTAAACTATGACATTCAGTAGGTTGAGTGTATTAAATACATTTTCACCATAAGATATTTTCAACTTACAATGAGTTTATGAGGACATAACCCCATCATAAGTGGAGGAAGATCTGTGTTTTATGCTTGCATGTCAACTCCAAAGACTGGCTTTAAAAGAAAAAATGTTTGAACTAAGAACAAAGATACTCCATAGATACATGGGCCTTTTACAGGGAAACAGGAATCTTGTAAAATTCAAACACATATCTAAAAAGTAAATCTGGTATCATTTATGTTTGCTCATTGGTCATTTTTAAAATATAATGAAGGTTTAGGTATCCACCATCCAGCCCATCCTACAATTTTGCAGATGAGCCATGCAGAGCTCTAAGAAGTTGACCATTCTAAGTTTCTAGGGATCAAAAATAAAATTTTCCATCTCCTACACTCCTAATCTATTTTTTTCCCTCCACTAAAGCATGCTACATAAATAATTGTTCGGCTTATTTATTGTCTGTGCATGCAGGAAACATTTTTATGCATCTGTTTAATATGCTTCTCAGAGCTAGTTCACCCTAAATAATTATTCCCAAACAATCCTTCCTCTATCAAGGTAATGAGTAAAGCACTGTCTTGAACAAGGCAATGGGACTTCCATTAGGGTGCATGGCTGAGCCTCAATTTCCTTGCCTGTTAAATGGTGCTACAAGTAGCAACAACTTCACAGCATTGTTACAAAAACAACACAAGACACTGTGAGCAGAGCAACTAACTCAGCAGTGGGCATGGAGCGTTTTAAAAATACCTAATAATATAGTAGAAATTTGTTGCAAAGACTTCGATTCTGTAATCATCATACCCCGCACTCACCTACCCACAAGTCATGCAGTGCATAGCCATGTCCTGTCAGCCCATCCCTGCCAGTTCCAGGGGCCGGGCCTTGTTTGGCTTAAGCTAGCCAATCATTGTAAACCATGCCCGTGGTGCCTACGACCTGTTTGGCAATGGGGACATCAGCCAGTCAGAGAGATTCTTCTTTCTTCCTGCCAGTGTTAGGACAGGAGCCTCAGGAGCCTGGCTGGGCGGTCAAGTAGATCAGCAGAGGAGTTCAAAAATGTAGCCACACCAAGGGAAGCAAAATCTATACATCAGTTCTGTTGACAAAATTTAAGCCCATGACAGAGGTAATTTGAAACTGATCCTGTGGGATGCTTTATATTTACAGGAACCACTTGTTTTTCGTCCCTTGTATGCAAAAGATCCCCAAATGACACGAAAGGTGACCTTGTTGGTGACCTTCAAATGAGTAGATTCTACACCTGATCATCAATTTCTCCATAAAAGGTCATTGTTGGACTAGAGCTCTAACTCTCAACCTGGATGCTTTAAAAATAAAACAAAACAAAAGCAAGACAAAAAAAAACAAAAACAAAACCTATTCCCTGGACCCTACCATTGGAGATTCAGATTCGAGTGACCTGGGGTGGGACCACAATATAGGATACAGGTACTTTAAAGAAAAAAAAATGTTGTTTGGGTGATTCTGTTTTTTTAAAAATTTTTTTTAAGATTTTATTTATTTATTTGACAGAGAGAGACACAGTGAGAGAGGGAACACAAGCAGCGGGAGTGGGAGAGGGAGAAGCAGGCTTCCCGTGGAGTGGGGAGCCCAATGTGGGGCTCGATCCCAGGACCCTGGGACCATGACCTGAGCCGAAGGCAGACACTTAAGGACTGAGCCACCCAGGCGCCCCATGAGTGATTCTATTTTAAAGCCAGAGATAAAAAAAACCCAAACTTCCTTGCTGAGCTGAACCCGAGGTCCCCTTCAACTTTGACATTCTCAATTCACCCTCACAGCCCGGAACCTGACAGGCTAAGTTAATGGTGGGAAAAGGCTAGCCAGACAGAGATGAAGTGCCTGCTATATAAATCACACCAATATGGAGTCAACCTCAGAATTTAGCTAAATCTGAACTGAAATAGAAAGTTCAAACAAAAGTAAAGGAGGAATGGAGTTCTCCTCAAGGATATTCACTTACACCTTTTACAAAAGATGTTATCTAGAATCACAATCTCCACAACTAGCCCCCCTTTCTTTCCTGAAAAGGCAGTGCTTTTCATTTTCATTTTCCAAAAACTCTGAGAACACTGGGCTAGGGAACAAGAGAGGCTGCCAGCACCATCTCTCATTGGAGTGGCTTTCATGTGGGCAGCTGCTGGAAAAGCAAAGCAACAGAGTCCAGAGCTATATCAGGGAAGTGTAAAAACCTCCACGGCCTTAGATTACATCTCCATCAGTCTTTAACTAGACTTGAGAGAGGTCATGGGTTTTGGGGTCCCACACTGGCCAGCTTCCCAAGCCCCCTAAACATTCAGTGGAAAAAGCAAACCTACAAAGATATATCCAATTCAAGAAACAAGGGAGGTAAATATCAGAACTCCTCTGACGCTGCAACCTAACGGGATCCACACCCCAAAGAGCAGTTACGTTCCCAGCCATCCATCCGCAGGATACTGTGGCATAAGGGGCCCAAAGGAGCTGTACAACTGTCTAAAGGAAGTTCTCCCAGGACAAAAGGAAGAGGTGTGGTTTGGGTGGACACGGACCAACGGACAAAAAGTAACACAGAGAGCAGGGCTATCCCAAGGAAGGTGTGTTATCCGTGCCTTCATCACACCCCCCAAAGTACTGAGGTACGATGTGGGGTGCACACAGCAAGTGAAGAATGGACAAAAAACTCTGCTTCTGAAGGACATGCTGCATGGCCTATGAGGCGCTCTAAGCCACCTGAAGATAAGGAGCTTCTCAACCTACCAGCCATGATGGAGTCTGGAATATGGTAGGTTTTCAATACCCAGTGAATTAGTGAATTAGTGAATGAGTGAATGAATACTTATACACATGAACAACATAAAGGCTGATGGTGTCTGTGCTGGGGATAAGAGTGTGTGCATGTATATATGTGTGTTTATATAAGTCACAAGCAAAACCACGACCCTCTCCCCACTGTCTCACTTTCTAGTCCCTGCCCACCCATCACAACGGCAAACATCTAAAACATGAAGCTGGAAGGAATGATCCCCAAGTACCTCAGAAGCAATTGCTTAGGGAGGCAACTTAGAAATGAACAGGGAAGCAAAGGACTTTATCACCTTGGCACCA